CACTTAAAACCGAATGATGTTTATTCAGAAAACAAAGTGCTCTGGCTGTTTAGATAATGCAAGGTAATGTTCTGTTGTTTTCATTCAACCAAGGCTCATTACAAAAGTTAATAAAATAGCATATAATGAAATACTCAAGTGCTTCACACATTCCACTCGGGCCTCCAAATAGAGGAAAAGCAGTATAGATAATCTGAAACAAAGCAAACAAGGCTGTAGGCCTATGGGCCAGGGATCATGTCCCAATACTGCAGACTTTCTACTGTGCAGGTGGGGAGAGAGAGCGAGAAGGCCTCTCAAGTCAATGCTGGCGATTTCCATGCCTGTGGCTCTTCTACAGTGGCCTACTCTTCAGTAAAGCTAAAAAAGGAGCATTCCTCTGGCAGAGGGTCAGATCCCAGGATGCATCTCCAGATTTGCGGAGGTGGGTGGGTGGGTGTTAGAAATTGCTGTGCTGGTTAGAAGAGTCTGGGAGTTGTAGTCCAAAAAGACAGCTTGTCAACTTTTAGATGAATTGTGATTTTCCTTGTCCTGGAGTTACACAGTGAATTGGACTGAATGACAGGAAACGTTCAACAAGCAAGAAAACCAAAGCAAAATTGACCGTGATGCCAACCACACTGTACCTTTTCACACTACACAGTTGTAGCACCATATTCCCCTTTAGCTGTCATGGCTGCATCCTGTGGAATCCTGGGGTTTGTATTTTGGTGAGAAGTGAGCAAAGAATTCTAAAAATTCCTTCCTGAACTGCAAGTCCCAGGATTTCATAGGATGGGGCCACAGCAGTCAATATAACGCTATAACTGTGTAGTGTGAAAGAGTACTCTGACCCAGCCTAAGGTCCTAAACAGCATTATTATTTCAATAAACAAGAAATCAGGAATGCTTTCCAGAGCTCCTTAGAAAAAGAGGTGTGGAAAAGTACAAAACGGCATTTAAAATATTGTAAGTAATGGCAATGATTAGCCTGCTTACAAAGGGATCTTCTAGCATCTTTGAGAGTGAGGTCCAATCCACACTACAGAAATAATTCAGTTTGACACCACTTTAACTGCCCTGGCTCAGTGCCAGGGGATCCTGAGGATTGTAGTTTATTGTGGCACCAGAGCTCTCTGATAGAGAAGGCTAACAAAACTGCAGTTCCCAGATTTCCCTAGCTTTGAGCCAGGGCAGTTAAAGTGGTGTCAAACTGGATTACAGTCAGCCCTCTGTTTATTTGGGGAATCCATTCCAGACCACCATCACCCCGCGAAAACAGACTTGCCAATATTCAAGCCCCATAGGCTTGAATGGGGTGCGTGCCACCAGCACACACCCCAGTGAAGTTAAAGGTGGTCGCCCCTCTGTGAATATTTAAGTCCGCAGATCTCAAGTCCATGAGAACGAAGGGGCAACTGTATTTCTGCAGTATGGACAGGAGAGAAAGAAGTTTGTTACGTAAGCTTTCATAGATTCACTCCATCAGATGTGTGAACTGACTTGTTAGTGAAAATTACTGTGTGAAATGCAGTCTATACCTCTCCCTCCCCACGGCCTTTTAGCTCTCGATCTTCCTGCCAATGTTGACCCATGAGATTTAGCTGCCTGGGGCAAAGGGCAAGACAGTGCCTCCAACATTCCTTGTCCAGAATCTTATAGAACCGACAATTGGATTTCACAGTACGGACCTCCACTACCTGAGGGCAGTAATCTAGGCTAGGAGGTGCAAGACATGCACACTGACCTATCAATGTTGTTCTTCATCTTGCCTCTGTTGCCCAATGTAGATGCCTCACCCTTCTCAAAAGTAGACCTGGCCCTGCAAAGTCTAGCTGATCTCACTCACTAGCTCACCAAGTGCATCTTACTTACCAACATTGAGTGCCTGCCTGCTACTGCCTGCTCAGATAAATGCTGCAGCCAAAGTGGTGATGCCAGTATGCATCGCATGAACAAGCATGTGCTTGATCACCTGGCAGCTCTTCCAAACAACATTCTTGGAAGTTAGTTAGGCGAGGCAGCCAGACAATTCCAAGGCCAGCAGGACAGCAGCGTATTTGCTGCCATGCCATATGTTCTGGAGGATGGGAGCATCTAAGGAACAGCCGCCTCTGTTCCTAAAACAGACCACCCAAGCTGTATGCCCCAGCCTGCCCATTTTTGGGACTGGTTCTTACTGGGAAAGGCCCCTGGAAAGAATCCTGGAGAGCTGCTTCCAGTCAGTGTGGACAATACTAAACTAGATGGGCCTAACTAGATATAAGGCATATATATATATATATATATATATATATATATATATATATATATATATATATATATATATATATATATATATATATATATATATATCTTTTTAAAAAATAAAATCTGATAGACCTTCTGGTGTTTTTTAATGCTGTAAATATCATATTGTTAGCTTGCAAAATTTGAAGGACTGTTTTGTGAGTGGGGTGATGATAAAATTTAAATATGATACCACTCCTTCTCACATCTAGTTGGCTTCACACGGTGCTATAGTTCTAAAAATCATTTTCAGAACATTTTGCTTATTATTGTAGATTAGCAGACATAGGTTGCATCCACACTGCAGAAATAATCCAGCTTGACACCAGTTTAAGTGCCATGGCTGAATGCTGTGGAATTCTGGGAACTGTAGTCTGTTGTGGCTCCACTCTGGTGCCACAACAAACTACAATCCCCAGAATTCCACAGCATTCAGCCGTGGCACTTAAAGCGGTGTCAAACCAGATTATTTCTGCAGTGTGGATGCAGCTATAGTTACATTTTTAAAAAGGAAGATGCCCTTATATGGAAAAAATAAGACTGAATACTCCAAAATATTATTAAGACAAGTAGTCAGACGTATATGTTAGGAGTGAGAGCATGTATGGCTCAAGAACAGGATCTCTGTCTGAAAATGTGGTTTGAAGTCTGGAGCTTGGAATGTTGCTTTAAAAAGAACTGTGTATCCTGATTGCTCTCCTTATGGTCCTTTATCTTTAAATCAGACTTGGCCTGGACAGCCATTGCAACAGAAGAGTCCTAAAAAACCTGTTTCTGGTAGTCCTTTGGACATGGGACAAGTGTTGGTCAATGAGGGCATGTGGCCACTTTATGGAACAGAGAGTGCCATCTTGTCTTTTACCTCAGGGAGAAACGTGTCTTTGGATGGATTTTACACCAGAAGATTCTTTGTTGTTCTTATAATAAAAACAGTCAAGCTCATTACAACTGAGGGGGAGGAAAAAATCAACACAGACAAGTAAATAGTTCCAGAGCCAGAATTTCAATAGAAACAAGTTTTTCATGACTTGACATCTGGTTCACCTCATAGAGTTCACTGAATGACTGGGTTTCATTTTCCACTGTGTGGCCAGATCTGATTAGCAGACTGAGTATGTCTTGTTTTGGCAGGACTAGAAAAAGAAAAAGAAAAGGCCTATTGGAGTAAGGAAAAACCTGAACTCTACACTGGAAAAAAATCCAATAATACATGCTGATAAAACCCTTTCCTTCACACTTTTAGCTCATCTCTATTTTAGAACTGGATTGTGAGAGAGTCTGGATGTAAAAGATTCCACCCCACATTTATTATAACATCAACAATAAATTTTTTGACCAAGGTTAGGAAATATGTCTCCAAATATTATTGGACTCAAGTTCCGATTAGCCAGTCTACCTAATGGGGAGGTATGATGGGAGTTGTAGTAAACATCTGGAGGAATAGAGCTTCCTAAGTTGTGTTAAAAGCTTGTTTAAAATTAGCTCTATTATTGTTAAAACTTGTTTATCTAGGATGTAACATAGTTTAAAAAAAGTTTGCCTGACTACAATATAATTTCCATTTCTCATCTTTTCTCCTTTGCAAGAATTTTTTTTCATAAAGTGGGACTGGGGAACTGCCAGTGGTGAGGTCAATGACTCCTTTCTGGGGAAAAATTCTATGCTCAAAATAATAAAGCAGGTAAGCTAGACTCTTGTGAGCACCCTTTGCTGTTGACTAACCTGTATCTTGAAAGCCAGTGTGGTGTAATGGTCTGAGTGTTAGACCATAACTCTGGAGAACAGGGTTCAAATCCAGCAGTCAGCCATGGAAATCCACTTGTTAACCCTGGGCAACTCAGGGGGGTTGCAGGCTGCCTGAAATAGTGCAAATTGAGTCCACTTTAAGGGTTTGGGTTAGTGCTAGGGAATTATGGGAATCGATTTTTTTTTTCTGAGACATTGAGCCTTCTCTGTCAGAGAGCTCTGGTGAGCTCTGTATAAAATACAGAACTGTATAAAATACTGTATACAGTTCTGTATACAGAACTGTATAAAATACAGAGAGCTCTGGTGAGCTCTGTATAAAATACAGAACTGTATAAAATA